TCCATTTTTGTTTAACTTCATCATAGACCTACTGATGGAAATAACATTCTCGTTGACTGAATTCTCGGGTATTGATCTCCTTCCAGGAGGTCCACTTATCGAATTAGAATACGCGGATGATATAGTCCTGTTTGGTGAAGACGCTGATAAAATGCAGAGTTTTCTGGTAGCACTGAGCAACAATGCCAGGATGTTTGGAATGCGCTTCTCTCCCTCTAAATGCAAGTTGTTGCTTCAGGGCTGGTCTGCGTCAACACCTGAACTAAGGATAGGGAGTAAAGTAGTCGAACGCGTTGACAACTTCACTTGTCTTGGAAGTCTGATCAGCGCTAATGGGTTGGTGTCTGACGAAATCTCAGTACAGATGGAAAAAGCTCGTCCGGCCTTTGCCAACTTACGTCACCTATGGCGAAGGCGGGATATCCGTCTATCAATTAAAGGACGAGTATACTGAGCGGCAGTCCGTTCTGTTTTAATTTACGGCAACAAAACATGGCAATTAAGAGTAAAAGATACTCGTAAGCTACTAGTATTTGACCACAGATGCCTTAGAAATATTGCTGGCGTCTGCTGGGATCACCGGGTAAGTAATTGTGAGGTTAGATGCATGGTATTAGGGAATGATGATGGTAAATTAGTTGATGAGGTTGTGAATCTTCATCGACTGAGATGGTTGGGCCACGTGTTACGTATGCCTGAACACCGATCACCACGACGTGCAATGCTAACAGGTGTTGGAGATGGTTGGAAGAAAGTTAGGGGCGGCCAAACCAAAACGTGGCATCAGTGCTTGAAGCCACTAACTTCTGGTCTGAGCCATGTTGGTAGATGCAGACTACTTGGTTGGGGTCCGCGTGACTATCGTAACCAATGGTCGGAGACTCTTGGTGACATGGCTCAAAATCGATCACAATGACGTTGGTGTATACACTCTTTGTCTTCCCTTAAACTAAGAGATTAAAATCACTTCATATCTTTCTTTCTACGAAGTAATTCTTTCTTCCTGTACTATATCCTTATTGCAATCTTTCTTTTATATATTACCACCTCTGATCATTAAAATTAAGTATTCATTGAAAACCATGCTTTTATATTCATCATTCATCCACTAATGTTAGCTATAGCACTTTTATTGGACATTAGAAATAATTTGGAGACAATCATGTTGTACTTCAAATATCCACTTATGCAGAGAGAACCTGATATATACCTGACGAAAGCTGCATTTATCATGGATTCTTCAGCTGTTACTATGTGACTTCCCACCAGCTTGTCTTAGCCGTCGAGCAAAATAGTCACACGATGAAAATAACTACGAGAAAATATTGTCCGTCTGAAGTAGTTGATTTACTGTTACCATGAATCAAGATAAAGGAAGGGATTTTTCGGGAGACTGGGCATATCTAGACATATGACACCATTTCACAAATCCAGATAATCATGTCATTTAGTTGGAGACATGCTATTTGTTGAAGTAAATTACTCCCTAGTCATTGTCAGCCCAGTTGTTCTTAACTGCGACAGAGGGGAAAATATATACACTTGTAATTTACATACACAACCATTCGATCTTAGCAAATATACCTTCCTACTCATTTCAGTAGGATAGTGGATATGCGCTGCCGTAGAAAGTGTGCATCACAACTGAATTATATTGCAGAACACAACACGACAGCACTTAATAAACATCTCGCTATATTGTAAGCTGACTGAAGTGTTTACCCAAGGGTTGAGTAGATAACACGTTTGGCAAAAAATTTTAAACCTCTAGATTGTTGCATAAGTAAGGTTATGTTCGTGCACTTATTGAGTAGTTTTCTCAAGCTAAAATGAAACATTTCCTTCTGATGAAAAGTATATCAACATTCATCAACTTCACAAACCACTGCACAAAATTACTATTTTATTTAAGGTGAATTATAAAAAGTGATATTTGACAATTTAGATATCAAAAGTGCTTAACAAGATATCAACTCAAACCAGTAACTATTCTTCGGTTGACTAGTTCTGCACACATAACAACTTGTCTAGATCTAGCACAATCTCAGTTTTATTTCAGTTATCAGATAGCTTAGCTGATGATATTGCCATTTTAGGAAAATCTAACGGTCAAGTAGGCTATAGACTGTGATAATTCCACAAATAGCACTAACTTATTGTTGATAATATGATTGGGCTTTCGTCTGTCTTTGTTGGCATATGTACATCCGGGACGCACTTTTCGTCGTTTTTGATACTCGTCAACTAAACGTACCTATGTCCCAGTTTTGATAGTCACAATGTAACTCGTACCCAGTACCCTAGGCTTCAAGTGTCCAACGAGCTAATGAATCGTTATAACAACTAATATGTTCAATGGGTACGAATTTAATTTCTTTAAACTCTTGTAATTTCCTATTTTCGATATCTAGGATAGTAACTGTTCATTTTATGCTTGCGTATATATATTCCGAGTTAACTGATTCGAGATAACCTTCAGTCACAAATTCTGGTCCTGGATTCCACTGTAAGCCAATAACCAATTTTAATAATACTATTAATAGTGTTATCTAAGATTATAATAAGAAAATTTTCTTTTTGAAGTCGTTCTAGTTTGTGCGAGTTTCATTCATATCTACTTAAAGTTGATTGATTGCTATCGGTAGTTCATATACAAATCTATTTTTTGTCTTAATGTAACTCACTTATATTATCTACTTTATTTGCGTAAATTCAATTCAGATTATTTGCTATCTACATACTGACCATAGCTGAGTAAAAATCCTAATCAATGAATGGATTTAGAAGATAAAACAACTACCCAGTAAATTTTACGATACTCTTTTCTTAACAAACAAGTGCAACTTCTTGTTGGTATTTAGTATATAACATGCACACGTATAACATAAATATAATTTAAAATCATTCAAATGGTAAATGAAATGAAAATTTCAATAGTTGAAATCATGAGTTAATTGAAGCTAGACCACCATACAAAACCTGGAAGCACTGGACGGCAGTTTCGGTCCTGGGTTCAAATCTCGAAGGGGGCGCGGTCGTGGATGCGTACTGCTGAGGAGTCCCATGCTGGGACGAAAAAGCCATCCAGTGCTTCCAGGTTTTCTATCGTGGTCTAGCTTCAATTAACTCATGGTTTCAACTATTAAAATTTCTAAAATCTCGACAAAACCCATTCCGAAATGAAATGGACTAAATATATTTGTAAATCAAGTTTAATTTCTACTATATCAATAAGATTAAAAATGTCATATATATAGGAAGCACAAAACATTAATAATGATATGTAAGCTAACGGCTTCTCTTAGTCTACAGGTCAACGATTAGAGATTTACAGGTAACTCGATCCTTTGCTCTCTTTTTCAGTCGTTGGCAAGTGATATTCATGATCAGGATTTCTACCTCCAGTTCTTAGTGCCATCTGTTATTTGATTTGTCTTTCTACATTTCGCCTAGAGGATTTCAAGTTAGCGCTTGGCTCGTCATACAATTTGATGATTTCCAAATTGTATGTCCTATTCACTTCCAACATCTTTTCCTAATTTCATCTTCAATCGGAAGTTGATTTGTTCTCTCCCACACTAGGCTGTTGTTCATGGTATCTGACCAATGTACATTAAGTATCTTGAGTACACAATTGTTTAGAAATACTTGTACATTTTTGATGATGGTTGTGGTAGTTCTGCAAGTTTCAGCTCCGTACAAGAAAGAAAGGGAGAGAGTTAGCATCCTTGTATAACACCGGTCCTCACTCGGAATGTATCCATCAACTGTTCTCCATGCACCAATTTACAGTGTAGTCCGTCTTATGAATTCCGTATGATGCATCATAGTGTAGAAGAAGGTTCCATAAGGTTCGTGTATCTACGCTGTCAAATGCTTCCTCATTGTCAAGGAGGTTGATGAATAGTGATATTTTAATGAGGCATCCATCTTTCCTGTCTGTTGGTACTTGTTCTACCTCTCAAATCTTTCTAAATAAAATGTGAGACATCTCTTCATTTACCTGTATATCTGGCTTCAATGCGTCGAGTGGTATGCTATCTTGTTTTGGTGCATTGCCATTCTCGATTTGTTTGATACCTTTTCCGGTTTCTTCGATTATTTGTGTGGTAACATGTTCAAGGAGGTCTATGTGTTCCTCCTCAATGTTCGTTGGATTTAGTGGAGCTAATGTATTCAAAACCCTTTTATAGTATACTACGCACCTGTTCCGCTGCTCTCGATCCTCAGTACTTGGTTTACATTCTTTGCTACTTGATTGCGTTATATAATTCCCTAATATTTCCTCTTATGACGTTTCTTCTACCGTTGCTAGATCAAGTTACCGCTTCTTTCCTTCAGATTCCGCTGTGAGCGCTTAGCTATTAGACCAGTGGTTATGTGTGATAAAATGAACTCAACTAATATTCAGCATAAACTAATGAATTGGTATCTCTTATTGTACACTGATTATATCTAAGAGTATTCTACTAAGTACATTCATGTTCATCTGTTTAAAAATTAATTGGAGCTCGAAATATAAATCATCGAATACTAGTGGTATAAGGGTTAATTGGTTCCTATAAGATCTGAATGTCCTGGATTCAATCTCCGTTAGCGTCAAGAAGAAGCTACAGGAAAATCCTATACAAAGTTAAAATAACCATCCAGTGTTTTCAAGTTTTAAATGGTTGTTTTACCAAGATCAGTTAATGGTGTAAACTATGTTTATAAATAGTTGTTATTGAATGTTTCCTGTTCAGGTTTCACGCAACTGGATATGATTTCTTAAATCGATAATATGAATCAAGTGAAGACAGAAGTCAACTCTCAAAACGCAATAATAATCACATTCATTACAATTTGATTTGTTCTTTCTTTTTTCTTTTTTTTGATTGTAAACTTTCGTTGTTTGACACATTAATTATTGAATTTATTACTGGATTTATGAATACGATATATAAATGTGTCAAACTAGCTTTTTGTGATTTTATGGTCAAATAAATATTTAGAGTACGGTATCACCACCCTTCACTAGTAATACATCCTATAACACTATTATTATTATTATTATTATTATTATTATTATTATTATTATTAGTAGTAGTAGTAGTAGTAGTAGTAGTAGTAGTAGTAGTAGTAGTAGTAGTAGTAGTAGTAGTAGTAGTAGTAGTAGTAGTAGTAGTAGTAGTAGTAGTAGTAGTAGTAGTAGTAGTAGTAGTAGTAGTAGTAGTAGTAGTAGTAGTAGTAGTAGTAGTAGTAGTAGTAGTAGTAGTAGTAGTAGTAGTAGTAGTAGTAGTAGTAGTAGTAGTAGTAGTAGTAGTAGTAGTAGTAGTAGTAGTAGTAGTAGTAGTAGTAGTAGTAGTAGTAGTAGTAGTAGTAGTAGTAGTAGTAGTAGTAGTAGTAGTAGTAGTAGTAGTAGTAGTAGTAGTAGTAGTAGTAGTAGTAGTAGTAGTAGTAGTAGTAGTAGTAGTAGTAGTAGTAGTAGTAGTAGTAGTAGTAGTAGTAGTAGTAGTAGTAGTAGTAGTAGTAGTAGTAGTAGTAGTAGTAGTAGTAGTAGTAGTAGTAGTAGTAGTAGTAGTAGTAGTAGTAGTAGTAGTAGTAGTAGTAGTAGTAGTAGTAGTAGTAGTAGTAGTAGTAGTAGTAGTAGTAGTAGTAGTAGTAGTAGTAGTAGTAGTAGTAGTAGTAGTAGTAGTAGTAGTAGTAGTAGTAGTAGTAGTAGTAGTAGTAGTAGTAGTAGTAGTAGTAGTAGTAGTAGTAGTAGTAGTAGTAGTAGTAGTAGTAGTAGTAGTAGTAGTAGTAGTAGTAGTAGTAGTAGTAGTAGTAGTAGTAGTAGTAGTAGTAGTAGTAGTAGTAGTAGTAGTAGTAGTAGTAGTAGTAGTAGTAGTAGTAGTAGTAGTAGTAGTAGTAGTAGTAGTAGTAGTAGTAGTAGTAGTAGTAGTAGTAGTAGTAGTAGTAGTAGTAGTAGTAGTAGTAGTAGTAGTAGTAGTAGTAGTAGTAGTAGTAGTAGTAGTAGTAGTAGTAGTAGTAGTAGTAGTAGTAGTAGTAGTAGTAGTAGTAGTAGTAGTAGTAGTAGTAGTAGTAGTAGTAGTAGTAGTAGTAGTAGTAGTAGTAGTAGTAGTAGTAGTAGTAGTAGTAGTAGTAGTAGTAGTAGTAGTAGTAGTAGTAGTAGTAGTAGTAGTAGTAGTAGTAGTAGTAGTAGTAGTAGTAGTAGTAGTAGTAGTAGTAGTAGTAGTAGTAGTAGTAGTAGTAGTAGTAGTAGTAGTAGTAGTAGTAGTAGTAGTAGTAGTAGTAGTAGTAGTAGTAGTAGTAGTAGTAGTAGTAGTAGTAGTAGTAGTAGTAGTAGTAGTAGTAGTAGTAGTAGTAGTAGTAGTAGTAGTAGTAGTAGTAGTAGTAGTAGTAGTAGTAGTAGTAGTAGTAGTAGTAGTAGTAGTAGTAGTAGTAGTAGTAGTAGTAGTAGTAGTAGTAGTAGTAGTAGTAGTAGTAGTAGTAGTAGTAGTAGTAGTAGTAGTAGTAGTAGTAGTAGTAGTAGTAGTAGTAGTAGTAGTAGTAGTAGTAGTAGTAGTAGTAGTAGTAGTAGTAGTAGTAGTAGTAGTAGTAGTAGTAGTAGTAGTAGTAGTAGTAGTAGTAGTAGTAGTAGTAGTAGTAGTAGTAGTAGTAGTAGTAGTAGTAGTAGTAGTAGTAGTAGTAGTAGTAGTAGTAGTAGTAGTAGTAGTAGTAGTAGTAGTAGTAGTAGTAGTAGTAGTAGTAGTAGTAGTAGTAGTAGTAGTAGTAGTAGTAGTAGTAGTAGTAGTAGTAGTAGTAGTAGTAGTAGTAGTAGTAGTAGTAGTAGTAGTAGTAGTAGTAGTAGTAGTAGTAGTAGTAGTAGTAGTAGTAGTAGTAGTAGTAGTAGTAGTAGTAGTAGTAGTAGTAGTAGTAGTAGTAGTAGTAGTAGTAGTAGTAGTAGTAGTAGTAGTAGTAGTAGTAGTAGTAGTAGTAGTAGTAGTAGTAGTAGTAGTAGTAGTAGTAGTAGTAGTAGTAGTAGTAGTAGTAGTAGTAGTAGTAGTAGTAGTAGTAGTAGTAGTAGTAGTAGTAGTAGTAGTAGTAGTAGTAGTAGTAGTAGTAGTAGTAGTAGTAGTAGTAGTAGTAGTAGTAGTAGTAGTAGTAGTAGTAGTAGTAGTAGTAGTAGTAGTAGTAGTAGTAGTAGTAGTAGTAGTAGTAGTAGTAGTAGTAGTAGTAGTAGTAGTAGTAGTAGTAGTAGTAGTAGTAGTAGTAGTAGTAGTAGTAGTAGTAGTAGTAGTAGTAGTAGTAGTAGTAGTAGTAGTAGTAGTAGTAGTAGTAGTAGTAGTAGTAGTAGTAGTAGTAGTAGTAGTAGTAGTAGTAGTAGTAGTAGTAGTAGTAGTAGTAGTAGTAGTAGTAGTAGTAGTAGTAGTAGTAGTAGTAGTAGTAGTAGTGTGATCACTCGTTAGCAAATAGTACGTCACTTTAATGTATTAGAAATGAAAATTGACATGATTGAGAAAAATGGACAAGACTGTTATACGGTGTAAATGACAGACAAGAACTGTGCAGTTTCAACATAAGACATTCTACTTGATTCCTCATGGTTAATTTAATCGAAGTGATTGGTAATTAAACACGATAGTGATAAACTTATCTTAGTTTAATCATTGTTTCTTTGTTTGTTTCTCACCTGAATTCATTTAATGTATGTTGATATGTATTCATACAATATTGATTAACTAATATCCCTAAGTATCTCGAACATGCGTGTATTACGGTTATATACTAATAACAAAAGAAATAATCTTCGATATCTTTATCATATCAATATTTAATAAACAGAGGACAGGATTTGATGTCATGAAAAGAAACAAGCTAAGTGAGCAATTAATTGATGAACAGCATACATATACAAATATGATACTAATTGAATTATTAATTAGTAGTATTTTCTTACATTAGGGTTTGTTTCTTAATCATAATTGTATTCATATTTACTTACCATTTATTTTTACCTTAAGTTCCAAAGATTATTTGAATATCTGAATATTCGTCTTAATCTACTAACTTGCAGCTTCCACTGCTCACGCTTTCTCTTGCTCTTTCCTCGTTCAGACTCTCATTCCCCCCTTCAAATGCTCCTACATGGTCACGCGTATACAGCCACTGCCAAGGAAGTCCTACTCACTGCCTTCTCGCGGAGGGGGTATTGTTCATAAAATTAAGAGTGTGATAAGTGAATGTCCGGTGCTTCAGCCAGGTTGGCGGGTAGAGAAGGTTCATCTAGGAGAGTTCGGAAACCAGTGGACATGGGCTTCAGGATCATGAGGGAACAAATGGCGCATTAACCTATTGTTAGCCACAGGCTACTATGAAACTGCATCTCCTAACGTTGCTCCATTGCCTTGTGGATTGGACCTCTAGGTCAAAGGCTAAGGGTTTGATCTCCTAAGAAAACCACTGGCTTCAGTTTCGGCGCTCAGGAAGTATTCCAGCCCTAACACATCGAATGATTCGTGTGGCGCATATGTATCCTGTACCTTCTTGTACCAATGTTTATGTTTAGATAAATAAATAAGCTAATAACTTCCCCTCTCAGCAAACAAATTACTTTCAGGTTAGACACAAACTTGCCGAAGTTTGGATGTTATATCCTATTTAATGATATATGCTGACAGCTAATCAAACAAATCAATGATTTCTAAATATAATCATGAACTAAATGCAGTTAATTGATCAAATGTCCCATAATATTTATCAGTATAACTTTATTGAATTTAAAGCTGTTTGAAGTTTGTTATTCATTAAACAATTAAATAAAATGAGGGGATAATTTATTAATTATTGTTGAATAGTACAGTTAATGCAGGATTTCATAGTATTTACAATATGAATTTGTCTACCATGAAACTGACAGATCAAATTAGCCTGCCAGTGAACAAACTGATTTACTTCACTTTGTGTTATTCGTTTGAATCTTCCCATTGATGTTTAGGACTGCAATTGATCAGTCTCTTATTGGTATATGTGCGTCCTGTGCGGATTGCCTCGATATTGCCTTAAGTCATAAGCATTATAAGCGAAAATGGATGTTGGCTAGCAGTGGAACCCAGGACACACGTTTCGTTCTATTTGAGACTCGTCAGCTGAGTGTATCTTCATCCCAGAGTTGATGTTCATTCCGGGATTGAACATCAACTATACCTTTGATAGACTTCGATAGTGCAATCAGAAGCCTTGGCTATACGAAAACTGAAACTATTTTTGTGTTCAAAAACCATTTATTCTAACTATTAACCTACCCTGGTAATACTGATTTATTATCCAGTGTTTTTCACGTTGTTTTTGTGTACTTTATTATTATATTTGTTTCTGCTTACGTTTTTAGTTGTCTAGTTGGCCTTTTATTTTTCATATAAAATGTCTTAACAAGTATATATGTGATCAGATTGTTCGAAATGTATTGCGCAAATGTATCACATAATTTTGATAACCTTCGTCTTCTCATTAAATTATCAGAATCAACTATACCGTTAAATATTTAAACTATATCTTATTGATTTAAACACAATAATTAATTATTCAGTATTTTCTTTTCAGTTAAAAGTTATGTTCCGACTATTTGAATTGTCCTTAATAATGGAATTCAGGGCTCAGATCTTGCTCCATTTGAGACATATCAAACCTAAATATTATTAAAAATCATATAAGGTGATTAGAGGCAGTAGACTGGAAACTCCGGACCTAGGTTTCGCGTTATTTGACACTCGTCAGTCTTGTGACATTTGCTGCTGCCTGGTGGATTCGGTCTCGTATCATTCAGCTTCACAATCAGATGTATTAAAACTGAGTTCTTCAAACCACGACTGACATCCCGTAGGACTAAGATACAATTGGTTGATCACTAAGTAGTGAATGATCAATGCTATGTCAAGTCTTTTTTAGGCTAGACCGAATTTTATAGATCAAGTTGTTATGTGACCATTAGTCTACGTGCCGTGACATCGCGTGCAATACGTTGAGATTTAATGTCAACAAAGTTTCATGCCGATAGCCTATCAAACACCTTGTCATATTCCAACTTGGTCTATAGAATTCGGTCAACACTCGGAAGGACTTGCGATAAATGACACTGATCAATCATTCAGTAATCAATCAACTATAAATGATAAAATGCATACATAATCTATTGAATAAAATTATACTAAATAATTTGAAACAGTCATACACCATGTAAAGTGTATGCAAATGAGACATATATCTGATCTCCTAATGTGAACGGTGTACACCTTTTCTCTTACTAATTGCAGTACTATGTATACTTCACCTGAATAAAGTGTGTAAATGAGATAAGTAAGAATAGCAAGCATGCAAACTTAAATAAAATATTCTGTTCAACATTAATATATTGTGCTAGTTTTTTTATGATAAAAATTTGTTTATTCACATCAAAAAGAAAGTGTATATAGTTTAGTTTCTTAATCACATGTTTCAAAAAATGGTTTTGTATAATGTCACATGATTCGACTACCTATATTGAATTACTCAATTAGTAGAATTCTATTGTAACTTGGATATAAAATATATTATTATTATTCATTATCTGGTAACCAATTTTTTTTCTCTTAATGTCGATTACAGTTCTGGATACTAAATGTAATGACCATAATTACGATCCGTTCTATCTCTTTGTCTAATGATAAAAGACAGTTTATACTGTCAAGATACAATGTCTAATAACATTACATGAACTCATTTCGTAACCATTAACAGACTAGATAGGATTTCCAGTAAAATTCAATGCATTTTTTTTACGGAATAATAATTAATTTAATGGTGTTGTTTTCTCTGAGCATGATAATTTTACACCATCAAAAACCTACTTCTGAGCTATATAATTGATCATACTAATTAAAAAAAATCAGTTTAGTGTTTATACTGATCAGGATGATAGACAGTGAAGCCAAGTAATTAATGAAAATAATTCTACTTAATGATTATAAATAATTCTCCTCGAAAGCTAAATAAATAATGAAGACATTGACGTTAGAGAGTACTAGAAAACTGTTCAGACTTTTTAATGGTTGAAACAATCAAATATCGGCAGGAATATTTTTGGAAAAAGAATAGGACAGTTTTCCACTGTTAGAGTGCAAAACTGGAATGATGAGAGAAATATTTTGAAGAAGTACTCGAATGGCTTAATTTCATTATAGCTTTCAGAAATAACCAGTAAATTTGAGGTAAAAGAGAAAAAGAAAATATCATCTACTGATTGGTTGTAGAGGTTTTAAAAATGATTGAAGTTGAATATTAGTGATTATATACAAAAAGTATTAGTGTAGCACTTCCAAAGTAATATTATTCTACCAAGAAACAATTATATACTGACCTGTGATTTCTAACCATTCTTCAAATAATGTTACTTCAAAATAAACATTTTATGAGGCAGTTACTAACTGAAGACAATGGTGGACGGTCGCGCAATATAGTGGATCGGTTAGAGTTAGACATCAACACCGTTGGATGCCGGACCAGTGGTCTACAGGTTAATCATCCGCGGTCGAGAGTTTGAATTCCGTTTGCAGGATCGTGGATGAGTACTGTTCATCAGTCTCATAGTAAGACGAAACGGTCGTCCAATACTTTCAGGTTTACAAATGGCTGTCTAACACTGATCTATTCATGATATCAACGTAAACATTTTATTCATATTTCTACTTAGAATTTATTTTTCCATGTTAAAAAAATTTTTTTTAATGTGACAAATAAAATCGATCAACTCTTACACAATCCGTTTTGCATTTTAAAAATTAATTTATCCTCCAGAATTTAGTTGTATAGTTGTAAATATTAGTAAGCAAACATTGATTGTAATATATTTTTAATCAAATGCACTCGATTTCATTTATACTAAACGAGTGAACTATGTGACTGGAACATGTCCAAATTATTAACTGTAGTTGATATGACCGATAAATAAATATATAAAAACAAAAAGAAACGTCATCAATTTTTAGCATATCAACCAATAAGCGGAATATTTTTCTATCTATTTATCAATGATTATACCCATAAAAAAATCAATAATTATTCAAATAATATTGATTTTTTAATCATAAGAACTATTTGAAAATTGATTTAATCGCATTTCACTCAAACATAAACATTAGTTATACTCTAGTCATTACTATCTCATTTCAGAGAAAATCTTTTGATTATGTGGAACTCATTAGATGGTTGTTTAGTTGATGGTATGTTCATGAGTTGACATTATTAGTGATATAACTTATAATGATAATGGCGAGATTACAATTTATGGACGAACCAATCAGATATAAAACAATAGATCTTGGATTTTGGAGCGAAATTCACTTATGCATTTGGTTTAATAACGTTTTGGCATTATATCTGATGTTAGTTCGTGATGAAAACCCTAAATCTAATTCCTAACTTTAACCATCAACTGTAAATCCTAATTCTAATTCACCATACTAGTTTATAACCTTCATTTAGTCCTAGTTATTAGGTAGACACTTCCAAGGTCACCTTAGCGTCACTCAAAGATCGTCCAGAAATTATAGTCCCACCAATATTCCAAAACCTGATATATATATTCATACTAAACGTGATATACAAGTGTAATTATTTTCTTGATGAAATTTAAGATATTTTTATTTTAATGATATCAGTAGAAAATATTATTTCATAAATCTGTCACTAATTTCAAAATTATCTCATGTATTGTGATCTATTGATAAGATTCATTATATATTGAGACCTTTCATTATTTGAGAAAGGCCTAAAGTTACGATTAGTTTTAGCTTTACGTATCTTAATCAGTGAAATACAAAGTGTGATACAAAGGTCAAGTCGAAACTGTATAGTACAAATGGCCATTTCAAAATTGATTAAAATATGGGTTCTCTGTTTGTTAATTACTTCGAATTCCTTTGTAGTATCTAGTTATCACACTAATTTCTTTCAAGTACTTCTCTTAAGGACTAGGTTCAGAAAACCCTATAGATGTCCTTCTATCGATCTTTCTTGTAAAATTGCTGTCATACGTAAGCATAACTACATGAACACATTTGAGGGTTATCTAAGGAGAGCATTGATCCACTTTCAGATAGTTTAAGGTACATTTGGTATTATATAATAAGAGCATTTGGGCCTCAGGGAAGCATCTTGTTAGTTCTGCTTTAATGCTTTTCGTCAATTCCATATGATATATTCCACTTCCTTTGATTATGAGATGGGTGAAGTTAGGTTTTTTCTTAACAAATTTGTTTAACGCTATCTGTAAACACCTTTCTCAACTTTGTTTAAGCTTGGTTATAAAATGTCAGTCAAAATAAACCCAAATGGTGACTTCATAACCAGTTCATCAATTTTCCTGTATAACTGGTTACTGAATTTGAATTGGATCCCTTCTGAACTTAGTAGTAATAATTTTCTCATTTCATTCTGGATGAAGGCAGCGATTTGAGTATACTGACATATTAGCCCTGAATTCCATTGTTAGCCAAAATTTAACTTTACTTAAAAAGATATTTACGAAAATTAAAAAAAGCTAAGAATCAATGAGTTAATTTTATCAGAAGGGGTTTTGTAGAGATTTTAGAAATTTCAATGGTTTAGATCATTAGTCAGTTGAAACTAGACCACCATGGAAAACCTGGAAGCACTGGACGCCCGTTTCGTCCCAGTATGGAACTCCTCAGCAGATCACTGAAGACAATGGTGTACGGTGGCGCAATTTCGTTGATTGATCGAAGTTAACACCGTTGGATGATGGCTCAGTGGTCTAGTGGTTAAGCGTTCGCGCTCGAGACTGATGGGTCCTGGGTTCGGATCTCGCAGGGGGCGGTGTCGTGAATGCGCACTGCCGAGGAGTCCCATACTGGGGTGAAACGGCCGTCCAGTGCTTCCAAGTTTTGCATGGTGGTCTAGCTTTAATTAACTCATGATTTCAACTATTGAAATTAATTTTAATTGTTTAATTGAACCGTCACTGGAATTCATCACATAATTTGCACATTTTTATTTGTGTTTTTAAATTAGTAAACAAACATAATCTCTTAGATGTTGTGAACAATGTTAATAATATTAAATATTGTATTTTTTTTAGGGTCTAATTTAAATGATAATATACATTTTCTCGGTTCGGGGTATTTTACAACGGGAGGCTCCATTGGGTAAACGTTGTTTATTCGTTTTTAAACTTAGAATTCCACCTATTTTTAAATTTCTATATTATTCTATTCACGAAACTGCCTATTTTTTTTTAACGTAATAATTTTCCTAATTAGTTTACTGCTTAGCTAAGAAATTTTAATTGAATATTCAAAATAATGTTTGATATTATAATTATTTTCAATGACTTTCTTCACAGACTATACAGTTTTAAGTCAATAAATGTTTTACATCAACTAGTGTAAAACATACACAAAAGTTTCCTTGAATTTAGTTTATACTGTTTATAAGGTTAAACTGTTCTGAACTTATATGGAAAGAATGGTAAATTCGACATTAACTGTCATTGTAAGTGACTTGAAAGGTCAGTAAAATTATGAGTTCAATTCAGTAAAATATATCAATGTTTCTGTGTATGTTAAGATTCTAGAGTGTAGTGAGTTGTAATCATAGGAACAAATTTTATTTTATAGATTATAAATGAGAAGAAATCACATTAGTAATCATACCATGTAAACTGAGAATATAAAATGTAACTTGAGCGTTTCAAATTAAAGGGATGATTGAAGTGATAGAAGATAAGGGTTAGGAAGTCATTAATATGAAGAGTAGATTGGTTAGAGAAGATTTAATATGTATAAATGTTGAAGTGAAATGAAATGCTATTTCGGTACTGCTTAATCATTAACAGTCGCTAATGCGATAGTCACAGTGATTGAAATTTGTCTTTAATTGTATCCGAAGATATATATATCTGACACATCAGGACACTTATCAGTCAGTTGGTTTGATAGAGAGATACAGTAAGTAGAAACTTGGATGAAGTCAGATCGACTCAAGTTATCGTTGTTTGTGACAAAGTGTAGAATGATAGTTTCTGATGATGACATGGTGTAGAGTGATGAAATAATATTCACGAATAAACCATTCATCTTCAAGTAATGTAACGAAAAGTTTTTACCTGATCTAAAAAACCTCTTCATCATGTTACAAGTAAAAATGGGTAGGAAAACGATTGCATTATTTAAAGTGAACAACACACTTCGAAGTAAGTGATGCGATAGAACTTGTAATAATAAATATTAACAAGTAAATCCATTATTAAATAGCTTCCTTCTTCCATCCGTAACCGGCAGAGTTCAACCATGTCCGGTTTAATATAGTCATCTACAAACAGATTTAAAAGATAATTACTCAATATGGTGAACTGATTCAAGTTAGAAATATAAACTAACGAATACCGATGCAGTGGTGAAAACTTTAAGGACTCGTAACGAAACCTGAATGTCTTGAGTTCGGTCATTAATTATGTCTTGGATATAACTGATGAGGAGTTCCACAGTCAAATGAAACAGCTACTCAACGTTTCCTAGTCTCTGGCAGTTGTCTAGCTAAGATCAAAATGTGTTGAAAACTACGAATTTTATTATTCAACCAATATATATATATATATATATATATATATATATATATATATATATATATATATAATATATATATATAATCAGAAAACCTAATCTTAGTTTTCAGAAAATTAATTAGAAAGTAAATAGATCTAATGACGTGTGTGCATTCTAGATAGTCTTTTGATCTTAATTATATTGATCTGTTGGATGAAATAAAATTTTACTTAATTTGATTTTAAAATAATCAGAATCAGCTGATTACCAGATGCTCTTTAAAATGTGAAAACTCCATCATTTAGTATCAGGTATCCGCATAGAAAGAAACTAACTGATATTCATCATAAATTGGTTGGTACCAGCTGCTTAGTGGTCAGAAATCTGGTGTGCTTTCTTTTCTAGAAAAAAATATTGAAAGCACAAAAATTCATTTCAATATATGTCAGATTTAAAATTTAACATTACCAACATCTTTCTAGATTATAGGATTGTCTTAGTTTCAAATGTGTCATTGTTAATTGTTGTCGATTAATTTTGTCATTAAATATAAGTGTATCTTATGCACTTACTGAATTTTTTACTCATATTTATTCTCCGATACTTCAGATTCTCTCGTCCATCCAACTCTTCCCACTTTTCAAACATACAACTTACAGTCAGGTTAAACATAAATCTACCAAATGCTGAATGTTACAGTTTAAAATATTTCTCATGGGAATTTATAGTATCGAGTAGAATTCATCTAAGTGGTTTTTTTATTATTGAACAACTTTGAATTTGTATATGATACCGGATGATTTACTACGGTTGAGATTTTCTTTATAAAATCTGTCAAATAATCTGCTTTATATGTGTTACAACCAATCATAACGACCATTCTTATCAAAATTCACTTTGATTCATACAAATAATGACGATAAAAAATCATTTCAAGAACCTCAAAAACAATCTTCAGTAATATATATTTCAGGCGCTCAGTTTAATTTTAGTGTGTTACATTGAGTACTCTTCAAAAGAAAACAAGATTCTGATGTTATTTTCAATTTTCCTTCTGACTAACACAATTGAAATGGATAAAATTTGACTGTTATCTGATGAAAACGATTTTTTTCCAAATCTTTTTTTAATGGTCATAGTAAAAAGATCAAAAAGTCATTGGGCAAGTAAATTTTGGACAAATTTGAATAAAATTCAATCAGGGTAACTAAATATAAGTCTCTGAGTGTAGCACGAAGTACTCAAGTTCCACATCATTAAGTGTTATCTAGTCTTTAAAAATTTTCAGCATACATTACTAGTACGCACCTAGTTTCTTGCATTCAATTGATTAAAATCATATCTTGCCGGTAAAATGGAATACACATCAATGAATATCATAATTAGTAAGAGTTTGATATTAAAGACCTAATTTTAAACAATCTATGTTGGTATATCTTCATCCTTCCTTAATATTATCATTTTATTATTATTATTATTAGCAAGCAATTAAATCCAGGATATGAGTTTCATCCCTTTTTAGCTCTCACAAGTTAGATGTACCTGATCCAATGATACTAGTCAAAATTCAATTTTAAATATAAAAAAGAATGATATCATAAATTCATACTTATTGACCAAGATGTTAGCGGGTTGCCCGAAATCAGTAGCTCAATGAATAACAAATTAGCGTTAAGGACAAAGTTACTGGGTTTAAGTCTCGGTATGGAACTCGACACTAAGATGTAGATATATCCGACTAATAAGTGATAAACAGGCGAAAACGCGTGTTCTGGATTCCACTGCTAGACACAATTCATCTACCGAAAGTGGCATATTGTTTAGTCGCTTTTTTATTATATAATAAAAAAATTAGAACGGCGAAAAGGTAGGCTGATTTTTACATTTCTTCACTATCAGTCGAAACGTCTCACAAAATAAAGTATGATGTAATCACTACTTCATACTTCATTGTATAGTGTTACCACTATTTTAATCATAGGTTATCCATTTTATTTGCTTTGCTTGTCATCAGTCAGTTACATTTAGTTGATTTCACTATTTTTTTATCTACGTAATCACTGGAATTTAAACAAATAGCTGTTAGCTCATTATATTATCATAAAAGGGTTAATAGTTACGTAACTAAAATGGGGTCAAATTGCTCTGTTCAGTTGGTTAAATCAAATACGAAAAGAAAATTCAATCATATGTATACTTTAAAAGCCCTTGTTAATCACCAAAAGTGTTTTGCTAGTGTAATTGATTTGAAACTTTACCATTACTAAGTCATAGTTACAATTACAAAATTGTCTAAATTTCAAGCATATATTTTGCAAACTGTTGTCGAGTCCATTAACTTGTATGTTTCATTCTTTACAAATTGATCTAATTTGAGGTACCGCTGATAATGAGAGAGCGATGGACGGCTATTTTGTACTAGTATGGGAGCTCTAAGAAATAGTGAATAAAAACTACAAATTAAACCAATCTACACAAACACTTCAACCTGACACTTTAATTATTAAATTTAAGTGAATCTTATGTGTTTACAAAATCTTTAATTTCTTCTCGCTTTTCGATATTCAGATGCGTGTTACTCCCAAAACAAGTAAGTCTAGGATGGATACAAATCTATAAACAGTTGAAGGTCACGTAGTACTTTATTTAACTTCTGATTTGAGTTTATACTTGTCTTCGCTGAAATGAAAAAAGTCTCTTGTTCTAGGGTCACTGTATTAATAAAGTGTACATACTAATATCCCTAGGCAACAAGAAAGTAATGGAAGCTTCCTTTAGGTTCTTTGAACTAAAACACAGTGTAATCATTTAAAAGTAAACGGGATTTCACACTTTGATCACTATCATTTGATGTCAAATATCCGGAACAGTTTGACAAATTTTTTTGAAATCACGTATTTTAACTACTGATGATTTTTAATTTGTGGGTAAATTGCATGAGGAATATATTTTATTTCACAAACACTAGGATTTTGTATGAAATTAAAGAGTAAAACTTTCGAAAAATCATAATTATTACCATTTTTAAGACGTTAACAAAGTTTTAAAAACTGAATTTGTCGAAACCTGAAACCTCGTGATTTGGATGTAATTGGGAGGTTTTCATTAGTATATGATCACTCAACAGTTCATCAGTGTGTATCAATCAATACGGTTTGCCACAAAGTAAGTGAAATAGTTCATTATTTACATTTAAGATTGTATTTTAAACACGTCATCAGTGAAAAAAAGGTTGGTTGTTGTTTATTTTGGTACAGGAAAAATATTGATTGGAAGTCAATATTATATTAATTATAAAACATTCAAACGTATAACTCCGCCTTTAGTTCTTCTAAGGTTACTGCTGGTCTCAAACCCGTATGAAGAAGGGGGGTTGAATATACGGTCAGCGACCCGATCCCGTAGAAAACAACCTTGCTATAAAAACACTAACCATAATAAACAAATTAAATCATTTATACTCTGACCTCCGGGTTGAAGGAACTTTATTCAGAAGAATTATGACACCTCACGATCAAAGCCGAGAGTCTTCAATAGTCACAAGGACGACACCTCATCTAACAACCAGAACAACAATTAGTATGGGTACATGGAATGTCTGGACAATGTAGAAAACCGAGTGGATCAACCAAATAGCTACGGGAATGGGTAGATATGACTTAGCGGTGCTCGAAATCAGCGAAACCCATTGTACCCAAGTTGTATAGAAGAGGATAGATTCGGGAGAGATGCTGCATTACTCTGGTCACGAATAGGAAAATGCTCTGCACATGCAGGAAGCTGATCTGATGCTGTCCAAAGAAGCACATAATGCACTGATTGAATGAGAATCTGATGGATCCAGAATCATCAAAGCATCCTTCAAAACAAAAAAAGGAGGGAATCACAATTTGTATTATGCAATGTTATGCATCCACCAGTGATAGCAACGATGACGAGAAAGGTCAGTTCTTCTAGAAGCTGCAATTAATCATAGCAAAGTGCCCAAGAAAGAACCTGGCAATCCTGATGGGAGATCTAAGCGCCAAAGTTGGAATTGACAACACCGGGTATAAAGAGATTATGGAAAGACATGGACTGGGGATTGGGAGAAAGGGACGAGAAATGTGACAGATTTACCAATTGTACGTGTATTCGACAAAATGGTTATAGGTGGCATTATATTCCACCACAAACGCATACACAAAGCTACGTGGGGCTCACCGAACCACACCACGAAGATCCAGATAGATCATATTGCATCAGTAAGAAATGCACAAGGACAATGGAAAATGTGCAAACCAGTAGAGGTGCTGATATAGCTTCATATCGTCATCTACTTGGTGGTTGCCAAGATGAAACTGAAGCTAACGAAGTATTGAACAAATGGACAAACAGCATTACAAAGGTTCAATACAGTCTTTCCTCTACATACCGAAAAACTCAACGAATTCAAGATAGTTCTCAACAACAGATTCCAATCCTTACAGGATCTACTGAAGGAAGAAAATACAATGGAGGACAACTGGAAAGGGATCAAAGAAGTACTAAATTCAACGTGTCAGAGGGTTGTGGGCCGCAAGAAGCGTAATCATAAGTAAACTGCAAGAGAAGGAAACATGAGACAACTACATGATATAACGAAGAAGCTAACAGAAAAATATGGTAAACAAGAGAGACCGGTCAGAGATAATGAAGTCAAGCCAATCACCGAGACTTAAGAACAGAGGAACATATAGGCATAACAATTTAAAGAACTTTTAGATAAGCCAAATCCGTTGAATCCACCAGACATCAAGGAAGAGCATATGCTGAAGAAACCAGCAATGGTATCAAACAAATCGAGAATGGTAAAGCATCGGGACCAGATATCATACCACTCTACACATTGAAGCCGGATATACAGGTAAATGCAGAGATGTCTCACATTTTATTTAGAAAGACTTGAGAGGTAGAACAAGTACCAACAGACAGGAAAGATGGATACCTCATTAAAATATCAATATTCATCAACCTCCTTGACAATGAGGAAGCATTTGACAGTGTAGATACGCGAACCTTATGAAACCTTCTTCTACACTATGATGCATCATACGGAATTCATAAGACGGACTACACTGTAAATTGGTGCATGGAGAACAGCTGATGGATACATTCCGAGTGAGGACCGGTGTCATAAAAGGATGCTTACTCTTCCACTTCCCCTTCCTTCTCGTGGTCGACTGGATTATGAAGACCTCAACATCTGAGGGAAAACACGGAATACAACCGATCGATTGGATGCAACTGGACAATTTATACTTTGTAGATGATCTGGCTCTTCTATCCCATGCACAGCAACAAATACAAGTGATGACAACCAGTGTAGCATCATGCTCTGTACCAATTGGCCTCAACATATACAAGGGAAAATGTAAGATCTTCAAACACACACAACGAGCACCAATCCAATCACATATGATGGAGAAACTCTGGAAAGGGGTGGAATGTTTTACGTAACTGGACAGCGTCATCGACGAAAAGTAGAATCTGGTGCAGATGTAAGGGCACGGACATATGGAACTCAAGACAACTGTCAACCAATATCAAAGTCACAATCTTCAATAAGAATGTCGAAAAAGTTAGTTCTATTGTACGGAGATGAAACTTGCAGAACTACCACAACCATCATCAAAAATGTACAAGTATTTCTAAACAATTGTGTACTCAAGATACTCAATGTCCATTGGTTGGATACCATGAACAACAGCCTAGTGTGGGAGAGAACAAATCAACTTCCGATTGAAGATGAAATTAGGAAAAGATGTTGGAAGTGAATAGGACATACAATTTGGAAATCATCAAATTGTATGACGAGCTAATCGCTAACTTGGAATCCTGAAGAGGGACGGAGAAGTGGAAGAACAAAGGACAGAGTGAGTGGAGAATTGGAAGTAGACATGAAATGGATGAATAGCAACTGAAAAGAACTGGAAATGATTTTTCAGGACAGAGTTGGTTGGAGAATGCTAGTGGTTAACCTTTGCTCCTCCATCAGGTGTATCAGGTATAGTTAGTTAAGTAAGTAAATATTCAAACGTATCTGTTTTTCACCTGACATTATAATCAGGTATAAATT